GTCACACAGCTCAGGGCAGAGCCACGTTTGAACCCAAGCCTTCCTCGCCCCCAGGTCCAGTGCCCTGTCTCCCAGTCCACTCTTTCTTTTTAAATAATGTCTCCATCAAATGGTCCTCCAGGCTTCTGCATGAGAACTGCAAATAGGGCAGAGCCACTAGTCCAGAGACAGTGTTAGATGACTTTCCTTGTTTGGAAGTTCTTTCTTGCACCCAATCTAAAAATGCCTCTTTGTAGCTTATCCCCACTGCTCATGGGTCTGTGATCAGAGGTCAGACAGAACAAGGCTAATCCCTGTCTCTTATGCCAGCTGTTCAGATGCTTGACAGCAGCTGTCATGGCCTGCCTAAGTCTTCTCTTCTCCATGCTAAACATCCCCAGCTCTTTCTACCACTCCTCACGCAGGAGAGCCCTCTCTCTTTCTTGGTGCCCTTTCTCTGGAATGCTTCACTTTGCCCACATGCTCCCTAAAATGGGGGGCCCAGAGCTGCTCATGATATCTGAGCCTTGGCCTGACCCGGGGCCCTGTTGCCTCCCCAGTTCTCCTAACGCAGCCCAGGCTCTCCTTGCCTTTTGTGGTACTTTACCACACATTGGGACTCGCAGTATTGAAATGGAGGAGAGATTATACAGCACATAGACCAGGGAGGGCAGAACAAAGCTAACCCCTCTGCTCTGCTCTAGTCCTTCAGGTACCTTGTTCACAGTAATGAACACATAAATGCTTATTGAATGGAATGGAATGGAATCAAGTGCCTTCTGCATTCCCAACCTTTGATAAGGCGTGTTGAGGCAGCTAGGTGGTGCAGTGGATAGAGCACTGGCCCTGGAGTCAGGAGGACCTGAGTTCAAATCCGGCCTCAGACACCTATCACTCACTAGCTGTGTGACTCTGGGCAAGTCACTTAACCCCAATTGCCTCACCAAAAATAAACAAATAAATAAATAAAAAGCCACGTTGAGGCTACAAGAAGGTTGGTATCGTCGCTTCTTAGGCACTGATAGCATTACACAGAGGAATTTGGTGCTCTGCAAGGACTAGTGAGAATCTTAAATTGGGATTATGGGGAGCCAGGAGCTGGGGCCCAGTGGAGCTGGTACCCTTTCCCAGAAAGCTGTGTTCAGGGATGGAGTAGCAGAGCAGGAGATATTCACTGAGATACATCTAAGATGGAGACATCAGGCTTAAGGGGCAAGTGTGCCCTGTTCTTGTTCTGCTCTAAGAGCATTTGTGGGGCCTTTCCAACATGCAGTCAAGAAAACATCTTGCTAAATGCTTTCTGTACAAAGCCATTTGCTTAGCAAAAATCAACCTGGAGACCCCTGCCAAACTGAACTGGCCAAAGGAAAGTTCCATTTCAAATATTTGAAGGGCTTTCATGTGAAAGAGGATTAGCCTTGTTCCACTTGGTTGCTAAGGGCAGACACTAGGGCAGTGAAGAGAAGGTGCTGGGAGACAGACTTAGTTTTGGTCAGACTTTCCATCTGTGAAATGGGGTACACTAGAAGGGGATAGGCTTTTGCTCTCTAGAGGTCCTCAGTGAAAAACTAACCAACCACTTGTTGGGTCTACTGGAGAGGGAATTCTTATTTAGGGAAGAGTTAAACTAGATGACCTCTGAGATCTCTTCTGACTTGGAGAATTTGTGATCCCATAAAAATCTCTTTGAGGAGTTTTTGAATTAAATGAACATATATTAATTACCCACAATAACTTAATTACCACCCCATCTAGATATTCTAGCAAGAGTAGTTTCTGGAGATGCCTAGGTGAGGGGCTATTGCCATGATGTCAGTAAACCTGTTGGGACTTGATCAAACAGTATCACATGGTTGCTTCCATTGGAGGTTAGGTAAACATCATTGGGGACACGGGGAGCCCTTGTTTATTTCTGGGTTGTGACTTTATTCTAGGTGAGTGGGGGTGAGGTAGCTGCCCATTATGGGAATTCTTTGTTCTTTGATCCAATTTCATGAAATTCTTTGTGAGTGAGGTATATTCATACTTTCTGGGGCAAGAAAAGATGCTGAATGACATGTAATTTTTGACCTTTCTCCTGCCTTGACTCATGAGAAATGTCCTTCTTTGAAGATGAAATTTTCTCATGTGGTTTCTTTCTTCAATTGTATGGCACCATTTTCTTATGAGAATAGAAGAGAATCACAGAAACATTGCTTGGATCAGCCCCCCCCCCCCATCAACCCCCCACCCCCTCCTGCCCCAGTGCCTTCTTTTTGAGATGCTTGCTGGCTGGTTCAGATAACAGTGAGCAGAATGTTAGGGCCATATTCGGGGTTGTGGTACTGGCCAAAATGATGTTGACTTTGGTTTGTGTTGAAATTTGTCTCTGTCCCATGTCTGTTGATTCCTATAGATATGGTTTCTGGCATTGCTTTTTTGCCTACCTTTAGACCATGATTAGAAAATTTATGTTTGTTGTGCTGTCCCTTGACCATATTCTAGGTACCAGAGGTACCCGTGGAAGAGCTGTCTCTAATGAGTTGGGGCGGGTCATGGAGGCCCTCACCTTGGGGAATGTTCTCATGCAGCATTGATGATATTCAAATAGATAAAATCAATGGAATATCAGCTCATTGAAGGGAGGGCCAGTCTCATTCTTGTATCTCTAGGACTTAGAAAAGTGTTTTGCCCACAATAAACATTTAGTAAAAGCTTGGTGAATCAAATTGAATTCATTAGCTCACAGAGCAAGATACCTCTGAGTGCTTCTCTCTCAAACCCTTACAGGTATGGGAATCTCAGGGCATTGAGTTTCTGGCTTCAACTCTTCTGACTGGAAAAATCTTGGTGCTCTTGAGTATGGACTTTTTAGGTATGGTGGCAAGGGTTGAGAAGAGAGAGGTCCTTCTGTAGGACTTTTCTTGGTATGAGTGTTTCAGTGATTTAAGAATGAAAAGACCTGGGTTTGAATTCTCAGTCTGACACTATCCATGTATCCATCAGCTAGTCATTTTCCCACAATGGCACCATGTTCTCTCATCTGTAAAATAGGGTTGATAGCACTTGTGTACTACCTCTAAAACCTCTGCTGGTTAGCATTCTATATCTCTCCTCCATTTTCTGTCTAAACTCCTTGAGAAGGCTGACTTTCATCATTACCTCCACTCCTGTCATTCAGTTTTAAACCTTCTGAATTCTGGCTCCCAGCCTCATCATTCCACTGAAACTACTTTCTCCAAAGGCACTGCTGATCTCTCAGTTATCAAATCTGATGGCCTTTTCTCAGTCTTCCTCCTCCTTGACCTCTTTGCTGCTTTGGATACTATCGATCACCCTCTTCTCCTAGATATTGGTTTTGCTCGAATTTTTGTGACACTGATCTCTTCTGGTTCCCTGACTGCTCCTCAAATGTCTTTGCTGGCTCTTCCCAATAACAGTGAGTGTTCCTTGAGGCTCAATCCTAGGCCCTCTTCACCCCTTCCTCTATACTATCTCATTGATCTCAGCCTCCATGGATTCAATTATCATCTTTGTGCAGATGATTCTCAAATCTCTTCATCCACCCCTAACTTCCTTCCTGACATCTAGTGTCCCATTGCCAGCTGCCTATCCTGGATATGCTACAGACATTTTAAACTCAACATATACAAAATGGAATTCATTCTCTCTCACTTCAGCTCCTCTCCTCTTTCTAACTCCCTGTTGTTGTTGAGGTCGTCACCATTCTCCCTGTCACCCAGGCTCACAATCTGGGTGTCATCCTCAACTTCTCAATCCCTTGCACCCTGCCTCCATCTAATCACTTGCCAAGTCCAGACCTTTCTACCTTCTCTCTTCTGACACTGTCAACACCCTGGCAAAGGCCATCATTACCTCCCCCTCTAGACTTCTGCAATGGCTGGCCTTTTGATTTCCCTGCCTCAAGTCTCTCTCCCTTCCAGTCTATGTTCCACTGATCTTCCTAAAGTGCAGGTCTGATTGTGTCATCCCCCCCCCCAATTCAATCAACTCCACTGGCTCCCTATCATTTCCAGGATCAATTTGAAAATGCAGTTTGACTTTTAAAGCTTTTCCTAACCTAGTCCCCTCCTGTCTTTCCAGTCTTTTTACACCTTACTCTGGGATCTGGTGACTCTGAACTCCAGGCTGTTCCTCCTCAAAGGTGCTCCAGCACCCACTTCTGGGCCTTTTCAGTAGTTGTCCCCAATGCTTTGAATTCTCTCCTTGCTCGGCTCTGCCTCCTGTCTTTTTTCAAGTCCCAGCTAAAATCCCACCTCGTGCAAGAAGCCTTTCCTGATTCTCTTTAATGCTAGGACCTTCCCTCTGAGATTAATTCTCATTTATCCCTCTATTTCTTGTCTGAATATACTTGTTTGCGTGTTGCCTGCCTCGTTAGACTATGAGCTCCTCGAGAGCAGGAGAGTGATTTTTGCTTTTCTTTGGATCAACAGCGTTCACCACAGTGCTTAATAAATGCTCACTGATGTGTTGACTTCATTTGTGAGCAAAATGGAGAGTGCTATTGGAAAGTTAACTAATGATGATGGCAATCATTAACCTATATAGATGATCCTGACCAAATACCACATAGAGTTTTGTGCTATGGCTTTTTCCTTATATAACAATTTACTAAGAAAAGAAAATTAAGAGACAAAGTCAAGCCTCCCCCGCCTCCTGCTCCCTGGAAAGCCAGAGGGGCAAAGTTCCTCAGTTTATGCCCTGCCTTCCACTCAAACGGATGATATTTTTAACTTAGTCAAGCTCTTTTTCAGTTGGTGGTCTCCTCTCACTCTAGCTCCTGCCTGAGCTTACCAGATCACTGCTGTTCAATAATACTCATGGACATTTATGTAATGTTCTTCTTTGAGGTCTTTTGGGAAGTAATATCTTATCTTGGGGTTTCATGCTTTCTAGGAAATTTTGAGAAATGAAAAAAATGGCGGGAAGTATAACTTCGTTTCAAATGCGATAGAAGCAGAATCAATAATTTGTGTGCCATCTTTGGGAGAAGAATCATTTGTATTCTTTGTTCTTCCCAGAAAGCTGCAGAGTTCTTAGCTCATCGTGGCTACCAAATGAAGTCAAAGCGGTGCCAATCTCTAACTGGTAAGTTTGAAGTCCTCTAACTAAGGCTATTTCCTACACCGTTTTCCTTCTCAGGATTTTCCCATCGGCCCTTCCAGATGCGTAAGCCCATCGTCTTGAGGCGTTCTAAGGCACCGACCCATCAATTTTCTCAACACAGTATGCTAAAAATCATAAACCTCACAAGTGATTGTAAATGGATTAGCATAGAACTGGATTTAAGCACCTTGTCTTTTGGGATTATTTAGACTTGATCATATTTGTCTCATGACCTGTTTCTCTCAGTCTGTCTTAGTTTGATTGAGACATATATGTGTATTTAGCATCCCTGAGGGTGGATGACTTTTTGGGTTAGAACATAGTGCTCATGAGTCTCAGTTCACGAGTTTGGTTTCCATGAGCTCTTGGTACACTGCCTTATTGTCCACATGCCATTCGTCCCAAGGGATCCTAGGTGAGTGAGATACTAGATGGGTCGGTAAGCCTGTTGGTATGTCAATACTTCATGGACCTGTGATTTCATCAGTGAGACCACCCCTTCTGCTCACAAAGATCAAAACCCCTGCAGGCCTTAATACAGGGCTTTCATGAAGTGCTACAGCCAAAAATAAAGGAATCACCCTGTGGTCAACCTGGTGATGCTTCTTCATACTTTGCTATGCTGGTCTGTAGATGATAGACATGATAGATGTTGACGTCCACCACCAGCCCTTCCTTGAAGCCTGCCCAGGCTCGTGACCCACCAACATAGCTTGCAGGGACCCAGGCTCACTACTCTGCTGCAGTGACTGAGGCTTTGGAAGAAGGCATCCATAGAGGAGGATTTCTGTGAAGGAGGATGTCAATGGAGGAAGAAACTAGCACTAGTCTGGGAGAAGAAATGAAAGAGCATTCTTGACTGAGGGGGTCAGGAATGGTATCTTTGTATAGGAAGAGGAGTGCCCGCGCATATATGGAGTTAAGGAACCACTCCCATGGTGATGTGTCTATATAAAGAGTAAATATGCTTTTCACCAATAGTTCCTATTGGCAAAAGTGTTACTTTGTAAAGCGTATCCTCAGACTTCAGTGGGTTTCAAGTACTGTCAACAATGGACAGTGTGTTAACAAACAGACTGATGAATTGTCTTGATTTTGGTATCTAATTGTTAATCTGACATGCCTTTTGTATCCATGTGGCTCAATGGATAGAGTCCTGGGCCTGGAGTCAGGTAGACTCAACTTCCTGAGTTCAGATCTAGCCTGAGGCACTTCCTAGCTGTGTGACCCTGGGCAAGTCACTTCACCCTCTTTGCCTCAGTTTCTTCATCTGTAAAGTGAGTATCTTTGCCAAGAAAACCCTGAACAGGGCTATAAGGGGTCAGACATGGCTGAAGTGACTAAAGAACAACAAAAAAGCCTAGGTATGGGTTTGGCCATCGCCTCCCAGCTTCTCTGCAGCCCGAGGACAGATTTGAAGTCAGGCCTTTGAACACAGACCACCCTCCGGTCCCCCCAAGGTCTGGATCCTGTCCCCCAAGAAAGTGTCTCATAGTTTCTTTTTCCTTTTATAGGTATTTGTATTTAGAGTTTCCTAGGAAACAAAATTAATTAGCGAGGTAGAACAATGAATGGAGTGCTAGAATTGGAATCAAGAAGACCTGAGTTTGAATTCTGCTTCTTACTACTGCAGATAGCTGCTTACTAGCTATATGATCCGGGTCAAGTCACTTAAGCCCTTCTCAGCCTCAGTTTCTTCATCTGTAAAATGGGGGAGAATAATATTCCCTACCTTACAGGGTAGGGAATGAGATACTATTTGTAGTGCTCTCTAAATATCAGTCATGACTGGCATTCCTGCATGTAGGACGTGGCACCAGGACTGTACTTTGAAGGAAGCTCAGACTCCCAAGTGGCAGAGGAGAGGAGGGATGCATTCCAGCAGACGGGCCTACCGGCCACCTGTGCAAAAGGCCCGAGGCCATTTCTGGGGAACGTTCAGCAGACACATTGGGCTCCAACCCAGCAACCAGAGCATTGTTTGTTCTCTCAAAAGAATTCTTTCCAGCCTGAAGTCATTTAAACAGCTGTGAATTTGTTCTCCTTGTACCAGAGACCTTAGACACATGGAGATAATCGATGGATAAATGGGTTACGATATTAAATTTTCTCTCAAACTTTTCACTAACCAGGAGGCAACAGAAAGCAAATGGTGACCTCTCACCTTGTCCTTCTCACCTGTCATGTGAAGAGACCTGGCAAGCTTCGCCTCCGTGTCAGCTAACTCTATCCCTTCTGCCTCTTGGCAGGATCTCAGCAGGGGATTCTTTCCTGATGAGACGTTTCAGGTGGGAAAGGATCCCCATGGTGCCAAAGGGGGCCCAGAAATGTGGAGTGGGGAACCGATGCCTGCAATGAAGTGTTCTCACTGCTCTGCTGAGCCCTTCCATGACTAAGATGGATTCAGGAAGCTTTCTGTACATCAGTGAGCTCTCGGGTTACAGATGACTCTCTTTAATATGGAGAAATAGAGGACAGGACGTACGTGGTGGGTCAAGGGGGAGCCCCATCCTCTACCCGTTGCTCTTGTTTACAAGATTTAAATAATATGTAACACGTATTTATCTTATATAATAATATAATCTTCCATCCTTGCCAAAGGTATGAGAGATGAATAGGCAGGTGTTCATAAATGACATTCTGAAGTGAACCACATCTCCACGGTCACGCAGTTGGCCAAAAGAGGTGCAGAACACACACTCCCATTGTCCCCATTGTTGACTGTAAGAAGGCATTGGATTTGGTGAAGCACAGTGCTTCCAGAAAGGATCTCCTACAACAGGATGCCTCTCATTGAGATGGCAGATTCCTTGGAAGATATCCAACAGAGCTCACTGTTTTTGACCACTCTCTCGTCATTAATGTCAAGCAAGGAATAAAACAGGGAAACGTGCTCACCAGAGGGATTTACCACCTTCACGGAAAATGTCTAGTGTAGAGTCTAAATGGAAGATGAATTTCCGGTTGATGGTGAGGTCATTCAGTTCTGCTTACTTGAGGATGACATTGTACTGTTTGTATCAGCCTCAAAACATTGTAGTGATCTTTAAATGAGATCCATAATCACTCAAAAAGAGTTCAGCCTTATTATTCACATGGGAAAGCCAAGTAGATAAAGAATTTCCCTGATATGCAATCGGCTGGACAACTCATAGAGCTAATCCATTAGTGTGTGTGTGTGTGTGTGTGTGTATGTATATGCATATTTATATGTATATACACACATAACATACATATATACATATATGTGTGTGGTGTTGTTCAGTCCTGTTTGATTCTTTGTGATCCTGTATGGGGTTTTCTTGGCAAGGATACTGGAGTGGTTTGCCATTTCCGTCTCCAGTGTGTTAAAGCAAACAGAGGTCACGTGGCTTGTCTAGCATCACATAGCTAGTAATTGTCTGAGGCCAGATTTGAACTCAGGTCTTCCTGACTCCAGGCCCAGCACTCTATCCACTGAGCCATGGCAGCTAGATGGCTAGAAACAGAGAGTGGAAGAGCACAATATTGTGGGGGGACAATTATTTGGGCCCAGAATTAAATAGGAAGAGGAGAGTGAAGTGGATTGTCTTTTAGAAGGTGCATACTGCTTTTAATTATCCCATACTTCCCTCTGTTTTTATAACATCAGTATTCTTCTACCATTGCTTTATGGAGGTGAATCGTGGAATATCACAGTTTCCAAAGAATAAAAGTTGCAGGTGACCCAAAGGGCTATGGAAAGCTATATAGTGGATGTGAGTGTATAAGAAATGCACAAACAAATGTCATTCAGAAAATGACTAGAGAGATAAAGGGAAAAAGAAATGGGCCAGTGGCATGGTAAGAGACAAAGATTGCCCATGAATAGTTATGGGAATCTGGGTGGTACAGTAGATAGAACGCTGGACCTGGAGTCAGGAAGATCTGAGTTCAAATGTGGCCTCAGATACTTACTAGCTGTGTGACCCTGGGCAAGTCACTTCACCCTGTTTGCCTCAGTTTCCTCCTCTGTAAAATGAGGTAAACAGTAGCACCTACCTCATGGGGTTGTTGTAAGGATCAAATGACATGATTATAAAGTGCTTAGCATAGTGCCTGGCACATAGTAGGTGCTGCTATATTAATGTTACCTAATAATAGTGGTGGTGGTAGTAGTAGGAGGAGGAGGAGGAGGAGAAGGAGAAGGGGGAGGAGTGTGGATGGGTTGCAGTTTACACCATTAGAGGCAGCATTCTCTGCAGTCATGGATCCCTTAAAGGATGGCCATATAGTCCTGCTCAGACAGTACTTCTCCCACACCCCACTGGGTTATTACGCTAGTGACCCTGTATTGTCACTTAAAGAGATACTTAAGAATGAGTCTATGATATGCATATTTATTGATGCCTGCCCAATGGGCAGTTATACTCTACTGTGGCTGCCAAAGAGCATTTGCAAAGCTCTCCTCAGATGAGTAACTTATTTCAGGTCTTATGAACCGCTCAGCAGCGGTTTGTTTTGTTGTTATTTTTACCCAGGCCCTGGGTGAGCTTCTTTGGAAACTCCCTAGACTCTCATCTGGTTGTAACAGGATTTTCTTTGTGGGGACTCTAAATACTCTATGGCTGTTTCCTCAGTCATCTTTATGAGTGCCATCCAGAGGTGGGCCCAATAGCAGTTCTGCCAGCTGTTTTTTTCTGCTCTTGACACACTCCCTTTGCAACAGTTTACTGTCTTCTCTCCTACCTGGGGAAAGGCAGAAGTGACCTTCCCTTCCTCATTTGCCTTCTCCTCTCCAACCCCCAGCTAGGTACAGTTGGCAAAATGAAGAGATCTCAGAGACTTAATGTCAGGAAGAAGTCCGTAACCACTAGAGTTAACCACAGGTGGAATGGGCTGCCTTCAGAGGCAGTGAGCTCTCTGCCACTGAGGGTCTTCAAGCAAAGGCTGACAACCACTTGCCAGTGATATTTCAGAAAAGTCTGGGCATGGGTTGGGCTCACTGACCTCTGAGGTCCTGTCCAACACTGAGATGCTGTGATCTCTTCCAGACTTGCTCTCATTCTTTCTCATTCCAGGAGAGACTTAAGAACAACAGTTCTAATGGGTATCCCTTTCTTCTGCTTTCCAGTAGGGGATCCTGGAGCAGTTCCTGATGTGAAAAGCAGCCGATCCAAGTCGACATGCCACATCACTCCTCTGAAGTTCAGTGGCATGGAATGGGTTGATGAAGAAGAAACAGATCAAGACCAAGGATTATAAGGCTCAAACTTGGGGATCACTGGTGCCACGGAATTGTTGCTTACTTATTTGCCCAATTATGCAGCACATAGTTTTTGTTTTTGTTTTTATTTTTTTGTGGGAAGAAGGTCAGGACTTGTAATTTCACCAGGTGTGTGGAAGCTCCCTTCACTGATGCAGATTGGCAACTTGTCTATAACTTACAATGTTATAGAGTTGCTAAATCTCACTAAAAAAATAAAACAAGAAGTTGAAGCTCCCAAGTAGACATTCACACAGATGTGAAGCTCCCAAGAAGACACTCACACAGATGTGGTCCACTACATCTGTAGGAAAATGATGCTATGGGCTTCCCCTGCAGCTGCCAACCATGATAAGCAGCCTATTTCTGCTACCCAGCATCACTCAGGCCTTTATTGGAATTCAGTGTTCCATTTGGAACTTCAAATCTCAAAATTATATAATCAGACAGGGAGAGCTTAGAAAAGAGTTAAGGAAAATGGCAAAAAGTTTGACAAAAGCTCAAGAAGAAAGGTCAGTGAGACTCTTTGAAGGCAAGAGAATGGAGGTGTCTCATGACGAACTTACAATAAAGAAGAAATTCTCAGTAGTCTATGAGAACTAGGGAAATACACACCATTTAAAATGTAGGAAAAGGCACAGTGTTGTAGAAATAGTACTGGTGTTGGAGTCAGGAGACACCTTGCCTTTAATATTTCCTGGCATTGAGACCGTGTTTAGTTACCAACCCCTCTTTGTTAATGAGGATAATATCAGCAGTCCCTCCCCTCCATGGCCATTGTAATGTCCGAATCACAAAACCAATGAAAATGATGGCACACCACTGCTGAAGGAGGTCTATGATCTTCATTGGGCTGGATATCTTTGAGGTCATGTTAGAAATGCACTGCTCCAGGTTGCCTTGGGTCTGATTAGTAAGCCTGCAAGACTGTGGCCAGGATGTGCATGCAGTAGAATGAGGGCCGAGAACAGAGTTGGAGGATCTGAGTTTAAGTTACTTCTCTGAAGCGTGCCAACTGTGTGGCCTTGGGCAAGGTCCCTTACCTCTTTTGACTCTGTGAAATGAGAGGACTGGATGAGATGACATTCAAAGTCTCTTCCATCTATACTCCCTCTCCCTTCCTACACGGGACACTTTGTCTTTCTCTACCTTCAGCCTCACTGTGTGTACAGCTATACACGTCTCCCAATTTGAGAAAACTTCAGCCGAAGCACGTCTGATCTGAACAGCCTCGTTGTACAATGTTGTCATCGTCCAAACCTGGCTTCCATTTGACCCACTGCGTAATTTATTCCTCCTTTTAATCATCACCTTGTAGCTTCTGAAGCAAGGAGCTAAATCTACCCTAACTCTAGGGGACGTAGTGTGATAGAGGAGAGCCCTGGCCTGGGAGCACCAAAATCTGAATTATGTGGCTTTGCTTCTCTGAGCCTCAGTTTCTCTATCTGTAAAACAAGAGGCTAGACTAAGGTCCCTTCTAATTCTGATGCTGAGTCAACTGAATTATGGGACTGACTTCTCAATTTGAGTCTTGGCAGGGTCGTCAGGCCTGGAAAGGGCTGGCAGCAAAAGGATGTTTTTTTCTTTTCAAAATTATGAATTTCCAGAGTAGGGAAGGAAGAAAAGAGGTTTGTGCTGCTCAGAGTAAGAGATCCATAGATCGAGAGGCCAACTCCCTCATTTTACAAATGAGGAAACTGAGGCCCTGGGTGACTGTTCCAAGGTCACATAGGTTAGGAAATGGTAAAATTGGTGTTTAAACTAGATCTTGTTGCTCCAACTTCATTGTGCTTTCCACTGTCCCCTGAACTGGCCAGAACTGTAAGAGTCTGAGTACCGTCTCTTCTAGCCTGTATTCTTTGCCTTGTTTTCCCCTGGCTTCTTCTTCTATCCGGCCAGGGAGGGATGTTACAATTTCCTACTTCTTTGTATGCTTTTATTTTTTACAATAAGCTGCATTTTACAATAAGCTAGATTTGGAGTAAAGAAGACCCGAGTTCAAATCCTACCTCAAACACTAGCTGTGTGACCCTGGGCAAGTCATTTATTTGACTTCTCTATGCCACAGGCAACTTTTCAGGCCATTATATTCTGCATTGTTTGAGGGGAGTTCCCTAAACTGATAAAATCTCGGATTCTTGTGGTATTTGTGTTATTTTTTATACCACTCTCATTGCCCGGTACCCTGCCTTTCTTCCTTTATAACAAAGAAAATCATCTCTACAAAACGGATCTTCCTAGTGAACATGTCAGGCAGAGCATGCAACGTTCTGTACCTCTGGTCTACCTAGAAGAGAGAAGTGGACCTCTTTGGTTCTCCGGAGCTGATATTCTCCTTTTCCAGAGGATCATGGATTCAGAGCTGGAAGGACATTCGAGGCCATCCAGTCCATCGACCTCATTGGACAGATGGGGAAACTAAGGCTCCTAGAGGTGGAGTGACTTGCCCAGGGTCACACAGCTTTGGAGCTGCCTTTTCCTCCCAATTCTTTCACATCAGAGAACCCTCCTCCACCTCTTCCGCATAATAATTATGTACATTAACATAGGCAGGGCCTTTACAAAAACTTTAATGCCGAGGGTAGATAGATAATTCTGTTTCTGATTAATTAAACCTTAGCACTTTCCAAGACTTTACACTTCTTTTTGTTTGAACCTTTACCATGTATAGTGTGAAAGCCAGAGACAATTTTCTTGTCATAATCAGATATTGCATGGCAGGATGTTCTTTTTTTTTGCCTTTAAAACACTCTAGTGAGGCAATATGGTATGTGTATGTGTGTGTGATAGGTGGGGGGGGGAAGAGAGAGAGAGTGATAGGTGGAGAGAGAGAGAGAGAGACAGAGAGAGAGAGACAGAGAGAGAGAGACAGAGAGAGAGAGAGAGACAGAGAGACAGAGAGAGAGAGAGACAGAGAGAGGGAGGACAGGACTGATGATGCTGTTGGAAGACCTGGCATTGAAGGCCGACCTAGGAGCAGCGGGTAGACATTGAAGAAAAGTGGGCTTAGGTTTGCTTTAAGAAAAAAATTAAACTTGTCATAAACTCCAAGTGGCCCCAGAGAGGAATAGGCTGCGTGCGGGGGCAGGGGGTTTCCTCTCACTGCAGGTCTTCAAGCAAAGACTAGATGAGCACTTGGATGGGTTGTGGGGCAGGGGCAGCACAGCCAGGGAAAGACTGGCTTGGCCAGCTTCAAGCTCACTTCCTGATCCCAGATTCATAAGCTCATAGTTGAAAAAGCAACAAAAATGGGGATCTGGTCTAAGCCTCTCATTTCCCCAAAGAGGGTCCGAAGAGGTTATGACTTGCGTCTGGTCACAGAGGTAGGAAGGAGCAGAGCCAGCAGGACCCTCCACTTGGCATTCTTTCCAGCATTCAGCACAGTGCTTGGCCTAGAGTAGATGCCTCACAATTATGATGAATATGCCTTTCCCCCTACACCACACTGCTCCTCTGTTTGATGAGTCCTGGCTTTGCCCTTTATTAATTATGTGACCATGGGCAGCACTCAACCTCCCTGTACTGAGCCTTGGTTTCCCCTGTCTGTGCAATGGGCAGAGTAATCCCTGTAGCACCTACCTCACGGGGTTGTTGTGGGGCCCACACAAAGAAATGTATATGAATGTGCTGTGTAACTTTAAAGTATTGTATAAACATAAGGGTTGATTGTTAATGAAGTCATTATGTACATTAAGTTCTGCTAAATTTCCTTGCAAAAAGCCAGCTCACTACTTTGTGGAACTAGGTCACTGTGTTCAAAATTGCAGTTATAGGGGTCCTGATTTTTCTCCCCTTATTGTCGTGCTTTTACTTAAACAGTCACTTGAATACTCAAAGCCTTTCAGTACCTCTTCTCATCTGATACAACCTTTGACACTGGAATGCCGCAGTCTGCTCTGCCAGGCTAAGAGCAGCTTCATGAGATTGACTCAAGTCACAGTTCAAGGAGGCTTGTGGGCCGCTGGAGGCTGGAAGTGGAATAGGCAGGCCACTTCTGGGTGCTGTGGAGGCCTCCGTGTTCTCCTTGCGGGTGCCTTTGCATTGAGGGCCTTCTCATAGTACTCTCAGGCAGCACCCAGCCAGCCACATACTTTGTTTCCCAGAGTAGAACACATTCTTTTCTCTCCCCATTCCTCATCGATGCTTCAAGAGATCTCCATGCCTGGAAATGTGATCTTGAGGAGGAAGGAGGTCTTGCTTCCTGGGTGGCAATGGTGGTGAGATGGGCCGGGAAGTCAGCACCTGGAGAACTGTAAGTTTGGGTACCATTTACAGAACACCTGATTTGTAGCACCTTTAGTTACTTGGGGAATCTGGGGCTGCAAAGGTGGGGGCCATCCCTCCACCAGGGCTGAGCCCAGGTTTCCCAAAGCCTCTGCACTTTAGTAAATGGTGTACAGGAGTTTCTGGTCTCTGCCTTTCCACAAATTGTGATGGCTAACCCTTGAGGGATGAGTTCCTCTGCGCTTTGCTAGACTGGGCCTTGAACAACAGACATAAAGTTTTTCCAGCTCGGTAGAGGCCTTGCCAGAGTTTGTACTCTGTAATTGCCCCAGGGCGCCCAAACACCACGATGAGGCACCAGAGAAAGATGGCAGTGGGGAGCCCAAAAAATAAACCAAGTCAGACTGCTGCTTGACTCTATGTATTGAGTCCCCAGGGCAATTCTAAAAATATTGGATATAAAGATGCAATGTCACCTGTCTGCAGGGACTTTGTCTTCAACAAGAGAGACTGTAAAGGCAACCACAGTAATGTAGAATGTACCACAGCACGCCAGTGAGTCAGGGACCGAGCTGGTGGTGGGAAGGGGAGGAGGGAAGGAAATGGTTCCCATTCATTAGAAGAGCTTCCTGGAGGGAAGGACCTTGAGTAAAGCCCAGGCAGATGGAAGGATGCTATTCCTTGAATTTGGCATAATTTAGACAAAAACCCAGAGGGTGGAAGGGAGGACCAAGTGCCAGGGAAAGTGAGAAAATAAGGATGGCATGGCTCCTTTTCTTCTTCCTTGCTGCCCCCTCCTACAGTGAAACTTGATCATTCATCTAGCTCCAACACTGTCATTAATGAAGGGGACCACCTTAGGCAAGTCTCTGGATAGTCATTTCCCCATTTGTAAAAGGAGGGGCTAAGTTAGGGGTACTTCTAGCCCGAAAATGTTATGTCTCAAAGATTGAATCTTTTTTTAAAATTATTTTTATTTTATTAATTTATTTTGATTTATCAACAATAACTTCCATATGCTTTTGAGTTTAAAATTTTTCTCCCCCTTCCTCCCCACCACCCTCCCCAAGACGGCGCACAACCTGATATAGGCTATACATTTACATTCCTATTAAACATTTTCCCGTTAGTGATATTGTAAGTAAAAACTAAAACCAATAGGAGGAACCATCAGAAAGAGGAAACAAAACTCAACAGAAGAGAAAAAAAAATAGCAATTTAAAGATCGAATCTTAATAGATGCTAAAGGACTCTCTACATTTTTTGGTTTCCTACAAATTTTGTTTCCATCCAATTACTTGATATAAGTAGGCCATTGCCTTGGTTATTAATATTATTTTTTTGTCATGCAGCAATTTCTTGTGATGGGGTTTTGACCACTAATTGTGCTTTTCTGAATTTGGAGGTGGTGGTGGTAGCAATGTTAATGAATTAAGCTTACTGTGCCTTTTCATATTTTCTCTTGAAACAAATATGCTCAAGCTGGGCAACACACACTTTCAAGCAATCCCCCTCCTTTGCCTTACTCTAGTTTCAGCTCATTTTCACAGCCAGGTAGAGGACTGTTTTCAGTTTCATATATTATTTATTTTCCATAATCGTCTAACTCCTGTCTCTTCTCATCTACTCATTCTTGAAGCAACTGCCATTCCACCAACAGCAAATTTCCCCGTGGCCCTTTTATCCTAGATCTTGAATGAGCTCTGCACAGACATTCTCTCTACCATTGTAACAAGAGAGCAGGGAGGGAAAGGAGGAGAGGAAAGGGGAGAGAAGGGAGACAGTGGTGGGGAATAGAAAGAAAGGGAAAGGAGACAGTGAGATGCAGAGAAAGTCAGAGAGAGAGAGACAGACAGAGACACAGAGGAGAGAGAAAAACAGAGGAAGAGAGAGAGTTGGTGAGAGACTCAGAGTCAGAAAGAGACAGACAAAGAGACAGAGGAGGAGGAGAGAGAGAAACAGAAAAGAGAGAGAGAATCAGAGAGAGAGAGCGAGAGTCTTTCTAAGCAATCTATCTGAACTTTTCAGGGAATCCAACCATTAAAACAGACTTTCACGAACCCACGGACCTGAAGCAACTGCACAATACACAATGCTAGCATGAAACCACGTACGTCTGAAACAGTTTTTACAGGATGAAAACCCTGCCAAAAATGCATTCTCCATGCTCCAGCCCAAGCATTTAACAGTTCTCCCTCAGCTGTAAAGTTTTTCAAGACCCCCAACAATGGGTCCCCCCAAAGTGGGAGACGCTATGTTTTCTTCTTTCTCAAAAAGCTATTCTTTATCTTCTTTCAAAAAATCCCGGTTCTCAAGAAAACAAAGCGCCCACTTCATTAAGATGCCTGGGACACCATCTTCTTTCCTAAAGTCACACCTCACTGCTCAGTCTTCAAAGGAGCTTACCAGAAACATCCGGCAGGGAGAGGAGGGAAGGGGTGGGGGAGGAGAGGGGGGGAGAGGGGGGATTCAGTCTTTATTCTGGAGCTTCTTAATCACTGATGCCTTTGCTTAGCAAAGATTTCTAGGAGAGAAAGCATGTGAAAGCAGTTCTACCGTGTGATTAGAAAAAGCTGCTGGAATGAGCCACTGTTAATGTTTTCCATCAGAGTTGTGTGTCAGATGTTGTACGTGTAGGCATGGTATGTGTAGGCATGGTTTGCGTCAGGCATGGTATGTCTAGGCATGGTATAGGTAAGCATTATACATGTAGACGTGGTATGTGTAGACATGGCATGCATTAGGCGTGGTATGTCTAGTCATAATATATGTAAGCACTGTCCATGTAGACATAGTATGTATAGGCATGACATGTGTACTGCCTTCCCTGGGGACCACCTCCAGGGATGCTGCAAGAAGAGTCTGAGCCTTGCCAGCCAGTTCATATGCTTTTCCAGTGGGCTGGAGGATTGCTATTTGGGCCAAACTTTGACCTAGAGCACATGCCATCCTTTCCCCCCCCTCACTCTATGGGGCGGTTCTGCAAACTATTTAATCACTTTGCCCTTGAGTGACCTACAACTAAACTCTCATCTTGACTGGCTGCTTCTCTGTCTGCCATTTTGAATTGCTTTTTTTTTAAAGTAGTAATGCCATTCATGATTTTTTCAATTGTTTGATATCATTCCCTTCTTTTAGAAATCTTCATGACTGATTGACCAATGGCCTTCAAAATATGTGCCTTCTAGCACTGACACCGTCTAGGTATTTTTGGTCTGGCCCAGCTGCCTTTCTGGGGTTTTTTCCATTTCAGCTTCCTCATTGAGCACAATGAGACTATAATATTGGAATCCAAATGTAGTAATTCCTCTGTCATTGATGGAGACAAGAGTTTATTATCAAAATATTGACATATCTTTTCCATTTTTCACATTCTTTGTGCTTCCATTTTTATCCTCCAATGCTTTAGAATGATGTGATTTCTGCAGGCTTGTTTCCTCTTTCCCCCATTTCTCATTGAGTCATGAGGGGATACTACCAATGACATTCCACTATTCTGCAGATTTTTACAAGTGAACCAGTGGGCTAAACTGTTGCCCTTGGCTGTCATATCTCTCTGTTTGGCAAAGATCAACTGTTTGCTGGCTTCACTGGCCTTGTCATTGGCTAGACCTGTATAGAAAATGGTGATGATCTGTGTTGATATGTTCTCTTATCAACTTCTCATTTTTTTTTAGCATCAAGAACTTGTTTAAAAAGGTTAGATTAGAACTATTTTAATTGGACACCATGTGTTTTCATCTTTATTCTTCCTTCTAACTTGCTGTTGATTTTGCTCTGTACTCTAACAGGTCAGTGGTCTGACTACACAAATAGCTGATTGGTAAATAATTCCCACTTGGGTAAACATTCCTTTCTCCAGGATCAAATAATATCCACTGTTTGACTTTTAAAGCCATTCGTAACCCGACTCCTTCTTATGTTTTCAGTCTTCTCATACCTTCTGCTCTCCAGGTGTTCTTCGATCCAGTGCCATTGTCGTCTTTGTTGTTCCTTGAATGTGACATTTCCATCTACTGACTCAGGGCATTTTCACTGGCTGTCCCTCATGCCTAGAACTCTCTCTCTCCTCATCTCTGTCTCTGAGTTTCCCTGGCTTCCTTCAAGACTCAGCTAAAGCCCCACCTTTTGCAAGAAGCCTTTCCTGGTCCTTTTTAATTTCTGTGTCTTCCTCTGAGACCATCCCCCAATTTATGCTGTATATATCTTGTTTATACATAGTTGTTTTCTCCCCAGTTAGGCTGTGAGCTGCTTGAGAGCAGGGACTGTCTTTTGTCTTTCTTTTTACCTTCAGTGCTTAGCACAGTGTCTTGACACATAATATGTGCTTAATAAAAACTTATTGAATTACTATTATACAGGAGAAGAGAAAATAAAGAAAATCAAACAAAGCTCGTAAGACTTGAAAACAAAGGTGGTCCATTGGGAATAGGAGGCAGTATTGTCTTGAGAGATACTTAGATGCTGTGAGGTTTCCATGGTCTCTTTGGTATAGGTATCCATCCACCAGTATGGATCCCAGCTCATCCATACCTCATCCTAGGCCATTCTTATCCATGTCATTCCATAAATAATCCATAGAAGATCTATAAAATGAGGGTGATCATAGCACCTCCCTCAGAAGATTATCGGTGAGGATCAGATGAAATATTTGTAAAATGCTTAGCACAGTGCCTGGCACATAGTAGGTGCTATAGAAATGTTAGCTATTAATATTAAACTAGTGTTCTAGAAGCTGTTCTCTGGTCCTTTTAACATTAGCGGACTACCAATGCCCAGGGAAAGGGTGCTTAATGAAAATGAGGTAGAGGGGAGAAGGGCAATTGGGAGAAAACACGAACCCTCTTCACTTCCTCTCTTGATAGATCCCAAACCTGGAGTGGTGGAATGGATGAGAGGAGTATCTGAGCTGCTCACTCAGTGAGATCAAGGAAAGATGCCAGAATTGTTAGAGAAACATGAAGGGAACTTTGAAGGTGATGAATGCAGCAAATGAACGCACCAAGGGGAAGGTGAGGTCATCCTTCCTCATTTGGCAACCCTGCTACTTTCTGCTGCCCCCTCTCACTACCCTAAGGTCTGCAGTGAAAGCCTTGGCCGGACAGGCCGGACAGCCCGGACCAGAAGGCATTTTGGATGCATTTGGGCCTTTTCACTAATAATGGTTTCCAGATTCATCCTGATGACGTGTAACCGTGAAGTCTGGTGTCTGTTTAGAGAGTCCACTTGGACTCATCTTAAATTTCTCTGGGAAGAGACAAACTGGCATCCAAGTTTTGCTTCTCATAATGAAATGATTTGATGGTAGAATGGCTTAGATTAGCACCAAGAGCATTCAGTCTGGTCTGTTGCCCATCATTAGTGGTGTGAAATTGTGTACTGGTTTTATTTCTTGTCAATCCAGTGGACTTGCCAAGCTCAAGGAGTCAGAGAACAGAGTGTAGACATTGCTGTGAGGATTGGTTTAGCCTTTCAGTGCTTTGAGAATCTTGGAAAAAGTCCTAGAGACATTCATTCATTATTGTCCATTAGAGGAGAGATGGCAAGTTGATTGCTTTTTCTGTGATTAGTATTATTAATTGCTATTCAGTGAGACTTTGTAAGGCCATTAACCAGAAATGAATATTGAAGCCATATTGTTGTTGTTTGTCCTTTGTTATCGAAGAGGACCATGACATTAGGGAGGTGATGCCATGATATGCAAGTACATTGGATTTAAGTAAGGGAAAGTTGTGTAAAGTCACCAGCCTCATTTTCTCCTCCAGAGCCATCTGGGTCCAGTGGTGAGATGTAGATCAGGATGACTGGAGATGGCCCTGGATTTAGTGGGATAACTTGGCCATTTTTTTTTTCAGCTAGTAAGTGTCAAGTGTTTTGGTCTGAGGCTGGATTTGAACTCAGGTCCTCCTGACTGCAGGGCCAGTGCTCTATCCACTGCACCACCTAGCTGCCCCTGACCTTGGCCTTTTTAAGCTAAAGGTTTTAACAGGTCTCTGTTTGACTGAGGCAGCATCATTCAGTGATTAAGGTTAGGTGAAAAATGAGGCAGAGACTGGCTTCTTTACCTAGTCAAAAAAATTAATATGAGAGGCAAAGATCCTCAGCGTTTCTGGCCAAAACAGAAACAGTTGCTATTTATATTCACTCTGAGCCCATCAGTGACCAAGTGGGGCTTGACCTGGGACCTACTGTTGGCCAATCAATGAGAGCCAGAGTGATTTGGATTTAAGGCTGGTCCTTAAGGGGAAAAAAAATTTAGAGATCAAAATTTACATTCCTTTGGAATAGCACCTGCAGGTAAGGTATGCTATGTGGACAGAGAAAAGGAAAGAAAAGAAAAGAAAGGAGCTGTGTTGTCCAACTGGCCAGTTCCAGTTGGGTCCTCACTGGGCAGCTCCTCTTTCTACTCACTGAGGTTTCTGTTTGTCCTTCGTTGTTGAAGAGGACCGTGACGTCAGGGAGGTGATGCCACGACATGTAAGTGAATTGGATTTAAGTGAAGGAGGGCTGTGCAAAGGCACCAGCCTCACTTTGTTTTCAAGCCAGGTTATAATAATAATAGCTCATATTTAGATGGTACTTTACATTATTTCATTTGATCCTCATTTACCTCATGTGAGGTAGGTGATAATTAATAGCTTGTGAGTGTTGGAATGGAACCTAGGTTCTTAGATTCTACTGTTCAGTCAGAGGCAACTAGGTTGCACAGTAGATAGAGTGCTGGGCCTAGAGTCAGGAAGACAGTCCAAATTTGACCTCAAACACTAGCTGTGTGGCCAGGGGCAAGTCATTTAACGTCTGTTTGCCTCAGTTTTCTCCTATGTAAAATGGGGATAATAATAGCATTTACTTCCCAGGGTTGTTGTGAGGATTCATGAGGTAATAATGAGGTAATAATATAGTTATAGGAGGTAACAATCATAAAGCCCTGAGCACAGTGCCTGACACATGGTAGGCACTATACAAGTGCGTTATATATACATATATTTATACGTACATAAACACACAACATGCTATCAGCACCGTTGGGCTCTCAAGGAAACCTGCTCTCCCGTTGTTAGTGAAAAATCATTCTCGGGGCGGCCAGGTGACGCAGTGGAGAGAGCTTTGGCCTTGGAGTCAGGAGGACCTGAATTCAAATCTGGCCTGAGACACTTGACACTGACTAGCTAGTGTGACCCTGGGCAAGTCAATTAACCTCGATTGCCCCACCAAAAAAAAAAAAAAAGAGAGAGAGAAAGAAAAATCATTCTCCCCTGCAGCCAGAACCTGAAAGGGAAGTCTCAGGAGATGTTTCCCTCCCTGCAAGGATATGCAGTGAAGGTGGCCAGTTGTGACACAGAAATGGAGGGTGGCAGTAGATACATCAGCTTTGGAAGGGGGAAAGGAAGCAATTGTAGTTAGGTAAGTGGGTAGGTAAAGTGCTTTGCAAACCATAAAGTCTTCTCTAAATCTGAGCTGCCATTATCAGACAATACTTCTCTCTGTGATAGCTATGAGCCTCTGAGACAGTCGGCATGAAGCATGCTTGGGGCCTAATGAGATCTTCCAGCCACATGTCTTTTCTTGGACAGACCACATTCTTGTCCAATTAAGTCCATTCAGTTCTACCACTGGAGTGCTGGCAGGCCCATTTGACTCAGGGAGACTGTGGCCAGCGCTGGGACACTGTTCCCAACTGGCTTCTTATCTGAGGCAGTGTCCTGCCCACTGAGGCCTGGGTCCAAGGAACAGTTTCTTGTCTGTGTGGCAGTGAGTGGGGGGAAAATCTGGAGACCTGGCTTGGGAAGGTTGGGCAGGGAGCCCCCACTGATGGAATCTGGTTGTGCTAAGAGCCAAATGGGCTCTCCTCTGGGGGAGGAGCTTGCAAGGACCCTGTCACTGCTCTTTTAAGGATGACATTTTGAGGGAGAGGTAAGAATCTCAGGGTGAGACAGCATTGTGACACAGCTGCTCCCATCATTTTCCAAAAGGCTATTCCAAAAGAGGTGTTTCAGTCACTAGGCAGACAAACACTCACATCTGTAAAACCAGGGTGCTGGAAGGAGGGGAATTTCCTAATTTACATCTCTGAGGTAATGAGAATTGATTTGTTCCTGAGAAAATGAACAGTAGTGAGGCTGCTTTGAAATGGTGGAAGAAGACAGAGCACATGGCCCTACTGGGGAGCTGCTCTGTAGTTATTTGTGGTTTTATTTGCACCCTTGAACAATTCACATTACTCTTTGAAGCAGAAAGCCCTCTAGCTTACCTCCTGGCCCCTCATTGGTCATGATGCCCATGTGAAGGGAGCACAAAGTGGGGCCTGGCCCTTCCAACCCGCACTCACTGTGTAAGTGAGGGGCCCCTCCTATAGCTGTAAAGATGGAACTGTCTTTGCCATTGGGCCCCTCTGCTTTTCTTGGAATTTTCATGTTGAAACAACTTGCTACACTTGTCCTGCTGGTTGGTTCTGGACAGTGTCTCATTTGTGAGGAACTTGGGAGGGTTATGCAGGCGAGGCATCTCTTTGACGCATCCCCAGCATGTGGCCATCCAGTCTTTGCACGATGACCTGCAGGGAGGGCGCACCTACTGTCTCACTGTCTCCCAAAGCAACCCACTGTACTTGGTGGTCTAGGTGGATGCAAAGTTCTTTCTTATGTCTGCCTCTTTGTGATTTCCACACGTTAGTCATAGTTCAATTTAATAAACATTTCTTAAATGCTTACATTATACAATGCACTGTGCTAAATGCTGAGGCTGCCCTCAAGGAGTTTATATTCTCTTGTGGAAACATAACACGCCCATAGCTAAGAAAATACAGAATATGGCCACTTCGGCTACAACACTTGTTTTTAAGATGTAAATTTGTTCCACTGCAATTGATATATAAGGGAACAATTTGAGTATATTGCAACTTGAGCATTTACTTATGCTCGATTTCATCAGCAAGAAAGAGAAAAGAATACCCAACCGAAAAAAGCCCCAAATGCACACGTGGCCCTCAGATGTCTGCCAACGACGTCATTCACCACATGTGCTGGTTATCCTACATAGCACCACTTTAGAGTAACTCACAAGCTGCAGCCCTTCCCACACCCACTTCCACAAGCAAACTTCAGGTCTCTTTCAAGGTAAAGTGTCATATTTGTTGTTTTAATATCTTCTGGTGCTGAAGGAGCTGTGGGCTGAGGGAGACTAGGCTGACCCTGCATATTTTACGCTTCCCCCTGCCCACATACACACTTTTGGCCTGACCCTGCCCTCTCATCCCAATTCCTAGAGCCACGGTGGCCACCCTCACATCATAGCCATAAACTTTGCCAGCCTGGTGCCCATGGGAGCCAGGGTGCAGACTCAATGGTAACCTGAGGCCACTGCCATTATTATTGCAGTATTTATGCATTTCTTAACCATTTAACACGGATTAAACTGTGCTACCATTTTCATTTGGTTCCTAACTTTTTTATGTATCACTGACAAAGTTTTTGAGTGTTGTGCCCCTAACCCCATTCCCCCCCCACAAGTCCTACAGCTTTTATTGCATGATTTTTCATGGCTCAGTGATTTTTAGGAACCCATTTGTCAAATTATAACAGAACTGACTGTATGTACCAAGTCATTTCAAGATTGAGATTAGAGGTGAGGCAGGGTGAATCAGGAAAGTCCTTGTATGTGAGGTGGCATCTGAAATGTGTTTTAAAGGAAGCTAGGGATTCTACTAGGCAAAGGTGATGAAGGAGGGAGGGCATGCTAGGCTTGAGGGACCAATTGGGCAAAAGTGCAAAGGCAGGAAATGCAATGTCATATACAGGAGGATAGCCAGTAGGCCAATTTGAATGGGACAGAGAATATATGAAAGAAAGTAACCTGAAATTTGACTGTAAAATAAGGGATTGTGGAGGACTTGAAATGCCAGTTGGGAGAGCTATTGGGCCACATCTTGAATTAAAATTCAGTGGATAACCTGACTAAATGTAACTTATTCAGTTATGACCTTTAAGGTCAAATAGAAAAAAGTTTAATCATA